TGCTCTGCTATCACCAGCCGCTGAGTGCTTGGCCGGGGGACCGGTGGCATTTGCTAATCAGTCCCCCCTCCTGTTTGTCTTGGCGCAGAGTCCTCRGCGTGCTGAGGTTGTTAGCAGTGCTCCCCATTAGCGCCGGCACTTCCTGGTGCTTGCGGGACACGGTGGGTCGCGGCGCGGGGACGGCCGCCCTGCCGCAGCCAAACACAGAGCGTTCTCTCTGCAGCTTTATTCCTAAACGGGGTGTTGGACTTTGGTTTTCCTCCCCGTCGCCGAAGGCCGGCGCTTCCCTGCGCTTTCTGAAAGCACGGGAGGCTGCTGCCGGGGCAGAGAAGGCGCTCTTTGTTGCCAGCCCGTCSCTCCGAGGGTCCTTTCTTTGCAGCACCCTGTGAGCAACCTGTACCGATCCTCCTCCACAAAGCGCGGTCTGTTCTCTGAGATTTGGCAACCAGGGAGAATTCCTCTATAAAGCCAGACAAGACACGAGGCACAAGGAAGCGCGGAGGCAGGTAGCCAGAAAAATTGGGGCCTGCATCCCGGCTAGTTTGCACSACTTTTCCCGCAGGATCGGGGCACCTTTTTGTTCAGACCTTAGCAGGAACAGGAGTGGTTGTGGCACGGTGCGGCGCATCCCGGGTTTGCCGGCCGCTGCTGTTCCCATTTGCCGAGTGCTCCTGGTCGTGCTGGGCACTGGAGCAGGGAATAGCCGGGATACCCTTCCCATGCCAGCCCTTCCTAGCGGCCCGAGCAGCCTGTCCGCCCACCAGGACCGGAGAGTCCCCCCTCCTAGGCCTTTAAAGTAGGYATCTGTATGTACAGATACAAAGCAGGCTTCCAAACCTACAGGATTTACTTTTTTTTTTTTCTTAGTGATAGTTTGAAAAATGGTGCGTATGATTCAGCAGATTGTGAATTGGGTCCATGTGCCATTTCAAAGTATCCGCGATAATGTTCGTGTTTGGTTAATCATGGATCTAAAATGCGAGATAAAAGCAGTTGCTGCAAAGTAGCAGTAAGTTTTTGATAACCTGGCCGTATGTGTAGGCRCTTTAAGTATAATGCCAAACTACATGAAAGACCAAGAAAAGCAACAGCTGATTTTTYCTTTTCTGTGAAAATAACATTTTTACCTTCCACAGAAATCAGGTTTTTGGTTTCATTTCAAATTTTGCAGATGGATCGTTTTGAAAGCTGCTAACAAACATATAAACCGTGTCCTGCATTTCCTCTTTGCAGTCTGGAGGGCTGGTGGCGGCCGAGCTGATTAGCTCTTTACTGCCGCGGCAGTAGCATTTGTCAATATAATGAGTAATGGCTTTCCGTGTCTCTGGCTAATAGTAACAATGAAAAATGCATCGTGTGCTTTCCTAGGGAAGTTGTCCATGGACACCAGGGAGTGGGAATGTTGCAGAAACATKAGCTGAAGGCAGATAGGAACAGGCCAGAGTTCCCGGGAATGTCGGTGTGTGCCGGAGCCACGTGAGCAGCGCGTGCTGGCAGAGCTGGAGCTGAGTTGAGGGGCTGGCCGTGCCCGCGGATGCGCGCAGCCGCTCAGGAGCGCGGTGGGACGAGCTTCCCGAGTGGTGGGACGAGCTTCCCGAGTGGTAGGATGAGCTTCCCGTGTTGTGGGACCAACACCACGTGGCAGGGCGAGCTTCCCGTGCAGTGGGACAAGTTTCCCACATGGCAGGACAAGCTTCCCGAGCGGCAGGACGCGCTTCCCGCAGGTTTCCCACGGGATTCCCGCGGTGCCCGGTGCGAACCCTGTGCTTGCGGCGGGCCAGGTCCTGCCAGGTGCTCCGCGCTCCTGGGCTCACGCCAAAAAAGCACTTAAACACGGGAGCACTTCTGTTCCTGATGCTTTCTGTAATGCCCCTCACTGGCTTAAGGATGTGCCTGGAGCGGGGCCAGCGCTCTCAGGACGTTGCAGGATAGGACTTTCCTGCAGTAATTAGTGAAAAATATGTTACAAAAAGACAGGCAGCCTAATGCTAGTGTTCCTCGGAGAGCACAGGGTCGGTGGGGATGGTGGCAGGGACTTTGTGGGCGCCGGGCGCCCTGTGCCCGCCTGGGGATGCTGCTCCTGTACGGATGTTCCCCAGCGGCGCCACGGAGACRTTTGCATTTCCAGGCCTGCAAGAAGGTGGAAGGAGACGTGGCCCTGGGTGTCCTGGTGCTGGCGTGGGAGCTGCGGGCAGGGACCCCGTGGGGCCTCGGGGRCGCTCAGTAACTCCCCCATTAACAGCAGCAAATGAGACCACCTGTGATCTCCTCTGAAATATCAACGGGAGCTTCTGCTCAGCACAGAGGCAGGCTCCTTGGTCTGTTTTAAGACAAAATAACTGCTTTCCATGTATTTTTTTCCCCTTTAATGCCCTGGCTCGGTGTCTGCAGGGCCTTTGCTGGGGCCGCGTGGGGCGGCCGGGTCGGCAGCGCCGGGAGCTCCCGACAGCTCTGCCTCTCCCAAGGGGGACAGCTCTGCCGGCACCTCGGGCACTCGCTGCGGTGTCCCTGGCTGGAGCGGCGACCCCGCCGGCCGTGGGCTCTTGTTGGAGGAGCAGAGGTGATAATGAATAGAACACAATGCCAAGGAGTGGTGTTATCAGCACGGCCACTTCCGTGCAATCCCCACACGTTCCTGTCTGCCCCCRATTCGCTGCACTTTGGGAATTACTTCATAAAAATCAAGGTTCCCCRTGATGTAAGAGGCAGGTTCCAGTCTGCCATGCTCTTCGCCTTCAGAGTTTGCTGAATATGTCAAGCCATGCCTATTTAAGCTGCTTTTTTTTTTTAATGACAGTTTATCTGAGCTCACGGAATGAATGGATAACATTACTATTTACATAAGCTCATTGTGATCTGTCTCGGTAATGTAATCAAATTAGGGTTAACTGCAGCTGGAGAATGCCAGCTTGTAAACTGTTTTTCAAAAAGAATCACATGGTGTCACTTGACATGTTTAGTATACATCCAGGAGGCTTTGCAAAAATTATAGCACATCCCTAAATAATGTAGCTAAGTCAAGATTTTGTTGCCACCAGTTCTCTGAACCCGGGAAGAGAAATGCAGTGAAATTCATCAAAAAAGTTGGAGGATAGAAACCTCCAAGCAGATCCCTAACCCACACGCTTTCCTGAGGGGCTGCTGCTGACGCGGTGTCTTTCTTTTGGCTAGAATCAACATATCAGTTGATAGGAAAAGCATATGGTGTAAATTTTGAGTGCCTTTAAGAACATCTGTGCTAACTGCAAAGCTGCGGCCCACTGTGCATGTCAAGCGCTGTATTTAGCACTGTGGCACTCGCATGAGATGAGGTCCAGCCTGGGCTACAATTACCTAATGAGGAGGTTTTCAAAGTATCTTGTGTTATTCTTATTAATAAACATCACATCTGGTACTTACTTTGTCTYTCCTCTAATTAGGAGATAGTATTTACATGGATGAGCCGTGCCCCTCCGAGCCTGCAGCGTGCGGGCAGGCGGAGCCGATTCCTCAATTTCCATATGTCCCTTTCCATAGGAGGGAACTTTCAAGGAGTTTTCTTCTCAAACTGGGAGCATAAAAGAGGAATTTTGAGAAATATATTCTAAAAATRGTTCCAATTCTCCTACCATTGCTAAAATATCTTTTCCCACACGTATGTTTTCATAATTTGAGTGGGAATGTGGTTTCATCTATATGAAAATTCTTCATGAAATCAGGATTTATTTTCCCAGAGATTAGAGGAAATCAATTAGAAAAATAATATTTCTCCGTGTCAAAAATATACCATTTAGAAATTTCCTGAATGAACAAGTTTATTTTTCAACTTTAAACAATTTCTGTTTCACTTTTTCTCTCACAGCTTATATTAACTTTAGATAAAAAGGCAGTGATATTTTTCCAGAGAAACAGAGTTTTGGATGAGTATGAAACATTCTTATAGAAATTGTGTTTTCTAGGAAATTTGAAATTTGGGATCTGCCCTGAATTGAAGAAAAAAAAAAAAAAGATTAAATATCCTTTGAGAAGCAGAACTTGTCCCTGGAGCTCCAGGCCTATCCAAACCAAGAAAAGGAAGCTTGTGTTGGCATTTAGATCCAGACTCAGGAATTCCTGACTGTTAAGCCTGTTTATATAGGGCTCTACCACAGCCCAATTTGCACTTCATTTCATTTTTTTATACCCTCTCCATTTATGGCCGTGTGGAGTGGGTGGGTTGTGCCCCCTGCGCACCCCTCACCGCTCGTGATTAGAGGTGCTCTGCATGTACAGGGGCGGCTGTGTCCTCACCGGGGCTGCAGTGTCGCGGGGAGCTTTTCGAGTCCATCAAGCGTATTTAGGTTACGGCTCCGGACGGGTCATGGGGCAGGTCTCAGGGGAGTTCCCAGGGTCCCCAGTAGAAGGAATCGGTGCCAGGATCGCCCGGCGCATCCGGGCGGCTTCTCCCTGTGCGTGGGGCTYGACCGGCGTCGCGGTGACGTCTCCCGTGGACCCTTTTTGGGTCGCTCTGGTGTTCACCCCTTGGGCCTGTTGTCTCTCAGCTGCTTTCCAAACCACAATTTCAGTATCTATTAAAGCTGTTGTAAAATACAGAGTAGCTCGGGATCCCTACTGTATAAAATATGACAGGTTGTTATTACAGCTGAACCTGGAAGCATTTGCCAACCTGTTTCAATATTTGTGCATTGGTTGATCTCCCCCCCAGCATGGTCAAAGGGGCCCAAGAGCCTTGGGCCAAATCCTCAGCAGCTGCCGAATTGCCACGAAGCTTCCTTGGTTTCAGCAGAACCAAAAGAGTTGGCACCAGGAGAGGATTTGGCCCTTTCCATTTTTTTATTTCCTTTATTGAGTGAAGTGGAACCGCGGATATCGGGCTGCGCGCACCAGCCGCTCCCAGAGCACGTCAGGAGTCCAGGGAGCCCCACGCGTGTTTTGGCCCTCCTACATCATGCTGAACCTGGTTACTTTATACTGTGCCTGGCTGCAGCTTCACTTTTCTTTTTTTTTTTGTTTTCTTTTAGCAAATACTGAGCGATCCTGAGGTGACTTCCCAAGAGGGCAACATAAAAAAGGTAGGATATGGGTTAATCTTACCCTGTTTTACTACTTGGCTTTGCAATGCACTTTGATGCTTTTTTCTCCTTTAAGTGAAGCTGCACTTTACAGAAACGTGTTACCAGTTTTCCAGTATTTGCTGTTGCCCTTATGAGAGCAGTATTGGTGTTTCCTTGGCGCGCTTGGTGTCTTTGGGGAGACTGCAAAAGGAAGCCATGGTGTGGAGCCGCATCCCGCCCCGGGATCCCTTGGGATCCCCGGCATCCCTCCCACGCGGGAGCCCTTGGCCACCSGGGCCGGGCTGCTCTCGGGGACGCGAAGGTGACGCTTTTTCCACGGTTATCTTTATTTGAGGGTTGGACTTGACTGTAGCCCGTCCAAGGGCACGTGGGGTGGCGTGTCCTCGGGGAGGCTCCGAGCTGGCTGTAGTGCCGTCCTCTTGTCTTGTGGGGGCTAATCATACTTCTGCCTGTAAAATAGGGGGTTTTCGAAGTGCAACGCGTTTTACAGCGGAACTGGCCGCAACTGCCTTTTTTTTCACCCAATTTGGCCATTTTCAGCCYTCTTTCTTAGCTCTGAGAGTTAAGAGGAAACGCTTGTGTCACTGGCAAGGCCCAGAGAAACGTGATACTCGTCAGGCCCCAGAGTTTGTCTGCGAGAAGGTGTTTAGGTGTTTATGCCCAGTGCTATGTCCACATATTCTCCCTGCATTGAGCAAAATCAGCTTTTATTTAGGGAACTCGAGTTCCCAACCCGAGAAGTCCTCTGACCACCCCGCGACCTTGCAAGGGACCTGTCGCAAGAGCGCTGAACTTTTTACCTTGTTCCCGTCCCTGACTCATTTGGGGGTTGTCTCTGCCTCGGTGGGATCCTTTTGTCTGGGCAGACATGGTGACAAGGTGGCAGGTTCTTATTATCATAGCGCCGTTACCGCGAGGATGGAGTCAACTCTCCGTGGCCCCAGGCTGTGCGCGATTCCCTTCTCAGAATCCTTAATTACAATATCCCAAATAAACCCCGCATCCGCACCCCGCTGAATCCGCGCTGCCCGAAAGAGAGCCGGGCTTTGTGTAAAACAAGGATGGAAGGAAACACGAAGTGGTCAGCTATGTGCGTTGAAAGGGCTCCCCCCTTACACTCGAGTACTTTAATTTCAAAGGGGAATGCTGCAAATCTGCCGTTCTTTGAAACACCCATGTCCTCAAGTATTCTCCTGTGCGCTGCATATACAACCGGCCAGTTATGATATTTGACAAGGAAGGGGCTGCCCTTGCCCTTCTTTCTCTAGRTGCATTGTAGAGAAGCGCTAGGGCAGTTTATGAGGTGATAAATTTATTGAAGGATGGGCAGTGGGCTTTTACAGCCAGGGTAAAAAAGGTCAGAGCAGTAAGGTAAAGAGTTCAAGTCTAAACTTAATGGCTTGTGAAGAGACCGCTGCAAGACAGCTCTGTGGCCAGAAGAAGATGAAAAATAAAGAATGAAAAATCATCCCATGCAATTGTTGCAGTATCTGAAAATTATTTGTGGGCAGTCGTGTCCTTGCCGAAGGGGGTTCAGCGCCGCGTTCCAGACCTGCTCCGAGCTCGCGGCCCTGCGCACGCGGAGCTGAGCGCCGAGCCCGGCCGCTCGCGGCTCCGCAGGGCCTCGCGGCGCGCAGGAGAGCGCCGGCGAGCCCGGACGAGCCCGGAGGAGCCCGGAGGAGCCCGGACGAGCCCGAGTGAGCCCGGATGAGCCTGAATGAGACCGTGTGAGCACGGACGAGCGCGCCCGGCCCCGCTCCGGCCGGGAAGGTGGCGCAGCCGCCACGAGCCACAGGGATCCTCTGCCCGACGGCTGCATCCCAGGCCCGGAGGAGGAGAGGCACCGGGCTCCGGAGCCAAAACCCGCAAAAACGCAGGATAAAACCCACAGAAGGGGAGCACAGCAGCCAGGCTGGCTGGAAGGCGGTGCAGGAAGCCACCTCCGGGTAAAATTGACCCCAGAAGCAATTTTTGGTGTTACGTTACCAGAAAAAACGTCCCATTATGCAGCTTTTCTTAAACTAAAAGGCAGTGAAATGTCTGAAGACACAGCAGAGCACACACTAGTATATTCTATAATAAACCAGGCCCTCCTTCGGCTTGCAGCTAAATAAGAGTTATTTTCCCACTATTCCCAGTATTTTTCAGATGAAATTACTCTTATTTCTTCTGGGACTGCTAACACCAGAAGRCGTTATTTTTTTGTTAGCACTTGTCTCAGAATTAGAATTTCTAGCAATATAACTAAAGGATCTATATCCATGATCATTTTTCCATATCTGGAAATGTGTTACATAATAGAATAAAAAGGGATTTATTCCTGCCAAGCTTTTCTTTTATCTGGTTTGCTTCCTGACGCTTACTTCAACCTGTAAAAACATACATCATCACCTCGAAGTTCTTGTTTATTTTATTTTTTAAACATTTGTTTGATTGAAAGTAATGCTCAAATGGAAGGTTCACCTTTTGAGTGAACGGAATGCAAACGTTCAGTCGTGCACAAATTTGCACTTAGTTTTACTTTATATGTATATATGACATATTATATATTATATATTGTAATATATGTTATATATATAAGATACTTTTTATTATATACTTCTTGTTTTATGCTTTAGCTGAGTGTGAGCATGCGTATTTTGTCTCATCTTTCCAGGCTCTTTTTCCCCTAGCCGTTCTCCTGCAGTCTGTTTATTTTGCTCACGCAGAGGCTCCCGTATTCTTTCTCTCTGCATTTCCTGAGCATTTCCAGTGCGTGTGATACCTCCAAAAGCCGTGTTGTTGTCATTATCTTCACTGTCATTCTGATTTAGCTGCGAGCGGGAGATGGGGCCCGCGCTTCGCGGGCCAGGACGTGCCGGCAGCGCCTGCTGCAGCCCGTGGCCTCGCGGGGCTCCCACTCGCCGCCTTTCACCCTGCTCCCCAAGTCACTCTGCACGGGGCTGGGGCGCGCGGCCCCTCACGGGGTCCCCCAGGGACCTCGCTCTTCAGTAGACTCTCTATTTAGTTTCTGTTTACTTAGAGGGAATGGCCTGAGGGGCTACTGGAGAGAAAACATCTGTGGGAGATAATCTATAGAGTTATCTATCTATCACTCTTGTCGACCCTGTCTCCCTCGAGAGCAAGCTGAGAGACTTGTAATAAAAAGGCATCGCTGAAGAGGCTTTAGGGACAAATAAAGAGACATGTTAAGGGCCAGCTGAAACAGGATGGAAGACATTATTAAAGCTCAATAGCCATCTTATCAAAATCCAATAGGATAGGCATTTGGCAAAAGGCTTTAAATTTATTCTTTGACTTTCTGGAGAGCTTGAATTTATCTATTAACAAGAATGCGCTACCCAGCGAGCAGGAGATGCTATCTGATTCAAAGGAGTTGGATTCAGTCTGGTATTTATAAAAAGAAAAAGACAAAATAGAAAACAAAAGCAATTTTTTTTCCTCTGCTTCAGCCAACTCCATTTTTATATTGCAAAATATAGGAAAGCAGCAATGCAGCACAGCTCCTAGTATAAACCAAAAGTAATTTATTCAATAGCTTCTCTCATCTTCTCCCGAATAACATGGAGTTTTTTTCTGAAAATCATGACTGTTAGAAGCGGTGTGAGATAGATATCTTGTTATGAGGCAGTAAACAAGGAAGCAGGTAGGAGGAAAGCTTTCCTTCCTCAAACAAAAGTTAAAAATCAGCAATGTTTTGCTCCTACAGATCCGGAGTTAAGAGAGTTCCATGAATCCCCTCGGGTTGAATATTATATACAAAATGCTACAGGTCAGACAAACCATCTGATACTTCAGAAACACATTGTTCACCCCAGATGATTGATTGATAATTATGATAATTTGCAAAATGATTATTTGGGTATTATAAMCATACTTTGTCCCCCCGGATAGCTGTGAAGACATTTTCTATATGAGGGGCCGTCAGAAACGGCCTCTGGCAAGGCGGGCTATGGGAAGGTCTGGCCGGTCTCTCCCCGCGGGATCGCTGGGGCTGATGAATGACGACCCAGAGGAGTAAGAAATCAGACTTCAATAAGCAGTCAGGAAGGTAGTTAGGGAAGAGCAGGGAACTGTTAACTGTCTTTTGTGCAGCAATTACGGGAGAGGAGGCCCCGCAGGCTCAGGCTCAGCTCCTCTCTCCAAAGAAATGCCCCTAAAACCATAGGTAATGCTGAAAAACTCCCACTTTCAGCGACAATTCTCCATCCCTCAGTTCTGCATAGTGAAGAATCCAATCAAAGTTCTTGTGCTTGTGCATGCAAGGCTGCCAGCTTGCCTGGAACACCAGGAAACAGGGAACGCTTAGCTCTCCTTAAAATAACGGCTGCTTTTTGGGCCTAAGTTTAGCTTGGAAGGGGAGAGCACGTTCTCTCCCGGCYGCGCGCTCCTCCAGCAATATCCCCGTATCCGCGTTAGACTCCACCGTCAGCACCGTCYCTGCCTCACGGCTGCTGTTTCCCAAAGAGCTTCAATTTGCTTGTTTTATAGGCTATATCTTCATGAAATCCCGGGATGTTTAGCTGCCACAAACAGAGGCAGCCCTGAGTTGATTTTTATAATCTTTTCCTGAATAGACTTGCGTCATTCCAATAAGCCGTGGACAAAAGAGTGGACAGTTGTCTGAGAGTCTTTTTTATAACATTTCTCTCTTTCTATTGTTAGGGAGCTGCTAATAAAAGAAACCAGGAGTCCATTAATTCAGTGAATGAACATATAGTAAAGTCAGTTCCCTCTTGAGAACAATAATGTTGCGGTCAGCTTAGGTTGCCATGGAAACTAAGTACTTCTAAGAAGTTTGCATCCTTGATTTTGCTGAAACGAGGCCTGTGAAGTAAGAGAAGGTGCAAAGCGGGCGCGGAGGAGTCAGCGGAGAAAGCAGTGGTTAAACGGTGGTGCGGGATTAACAGGCTGCGCTTCGTTCCTTTGGCGCGGCCGCACACGTGGGCTGCAGCCTCGGCTTGCACGGTGTGTAGGACAGATGACTTTACAGGGAG